GTGAAATGTGTATCTTACGTAGCCAAATTACAGTATTTCTGACAAACAAATAATGTATGCCAGTATCAATTATATATTTCACTAAATTTAGTCCATGTAAGTTAAAATTAATATTATAGTATAAATTTATAATCAAATTAGGAGTCGTCATTGCATTGTACACGTATAAAAATAGATAAAATTATTATTATTGTTCAAATTAAGCTGCTACCATTTTTATATTCAATCAGAATACAATGATATTGATATATGATGGTTATATTATGAAGAATAGTATTAATATACTTAGTAGAACCTCTAATTTACGTATACTAAATTTACAAACTTCTATTTTACAAACGCGAAGTTACATATTTCGAATCTTCATATTATATTTACGAATCATGTAAAAAGTGCCCAAATACAAAAATTATAATTTTTTAAGCTATTATTCGAAATTAAAGACACTATTCGGTGAGGTAAATGGTTCTATAAAATGGTGTGGTAGATAAATAGAATATAAATGAATCAAAGTTAGACGAGTTTTAGGTTTTCTCTTTTATTTGTCAACATCATTTTACCAGCATTGAAGATAATGATATATTATTTTCTTAATTTTTTGTGATTTTATTACTTTAACAGCATTGAAGATAATAAAATATTCTTTTCTTTATTTTTATTGTGATTTTATAACTTTTATCAGCGTTTAATATAATGATATTTTCTGTATTTTATTGCGATTATTGGCCTGATTTTTCAATCAATTATCTATCAAATCAGCAACATCGCCAACAGGCATGTTCCTACAAAAGGCTTTTCTATTCTCGCTCATTAGTGGTAGAAGATTTTTTAATATGCCATTTTTTTAAACCGAAGTAAAGCTAGGCATTTTGTGAATTTACAAGCTATCATGACTACTTAACTATGCGTAATTGTCTTCTGTGATTGGTTCATTATTATCTGTTCATTGTTTGGTGGAGATAATGCCTTCTTCCAAATTATTCTGCATTCATGGATTGGAGTTAATGCGTAAATATAATATTTATTTCATATTTCTGGACATTTTTTGGGGTATATGATCAATTCACATGATAGATTACATCTATAGGATGCCATAGAAACAAAAATCCAAAAATCTCAAAAAAGTGGAGTTAATGCCTTTTTCCAAATTACGGCAGTATAATTAAACGACAATTACTGATTAAACACAGACTTGATCTGTAATGAAATTACAATACAATATTTCTATTATTTGTTTTAATGCTTTCATGACATTGATTCTGCTAACGAGAATGATGATGATGATGATTTCTTTCAGTTCTTTCATGCCATTGATTCTGCTAACGAGAATAATGATGATGACAACGACAACACAAAGACGTACAGCTTTTATTTTAGTTCCACCAGAACACCAAACAACTAGAGCACCAATGTAGTAGTAGCAGTAGTACAATCCAACAAATATAATGCTATTTTTCATTATGGTCGTCAACCTTATTTACATTTAACATAAATTACACAGCACGGTACACAATAAAAAAGAAAAAAAGTTAAACGCAGAAATTAAATAATATAGATACAAAACATAATTATTATACAGTATGCAAAAGTCAAATATTTAGAACAATTAAAATAATCTTTACCTAAAAATGGCAAAAAAAATTATTGAAATGAAGAAAATCCACTCCACAAAATTAAACTGTAAATTACGAAAAAGAAATGTAGTCTGGTCGATTCAGGTCAATATCATGGGCTACAGGGAAAACACTGTTAACAAAACTTTTTTAGTATCAATCGATGCACACGGATGTCCTCTTTAACATGTGAAAACCTCTCTTCATTCCTCCTTGGGGGAAATAAGTTATAGCCGTTTTACTAAAGCCCCCTATTTTCAGTTAAACTTCAATGATTTCTCACAGATAAGACAATACTTCGAACAAGCATAGACCTACATATTTTGAGAAAAATGTTTTAAGGCTTATAGCCAGGAATCCAAAGGTATCTAGGATAGCAAGGACTAACATATACACCAAATGATGGGGTTCACAGGAAAGGGTACAATGGTGAGTGTGGTGCAAATGAATGAAGTCCAGGAGCATGTAAATGGAATGTCATCATTTGTATAGTATTTAATGCAAGTTGGTTTGGTTTGGTTAATCAGAGGTGTTTGCTCAAAAGGAGGATTTGCAATGGTGTGGCGCTAAATGTGGGCCAATGGACAGTGATTTCCCCTAGGAAAAACCTATGCAGAAAATGTAGCTATGGAATCAATTAAATAAGCCTTTTAAATTCCTAAATAGTCAGAGTTTCAATAGTTTTGCCCTACCCATGAAGGGTTCGGTGGCGGATTCAAGGAGGCCCAGCCGGCCACCACCCTCTCCCCACCCAATATAAATTATTCAACGTTTAAAAAATCCACATTATAAGTCTGAGATTGCCATTCCAGCCATCTAGAGGTACCGTAATCATCCAGCCCCATCAATCATGGTGGGGCTGGATCTGGAGCTGGGTCTAAGCTCTCCATCTGTGCAAGTCCCACCCTGAATCTCCACTAATTCAAATTCCTGGATCTGCCACTGGGGTTCTTGGCTGCCACTGGCCCCGCCCACCTGGGCTTCCGCCAAAAAGATTAGCCTTTCCATCAGAGATATCGACTCCTTGTCCGGCAAAACCAACCCCTTTCCCTCGGTGGTGGGGGTCCCGGTATCTCTGACATAGGTGGGGTATTGTTCTAGAGAAAACCAATATTCGTGATGGAAATAGGCGTGGCCAAGGGCAGCCCAAAACTCTGTAGACAAGGATTTGAAAGGCTTATTTAATTGATGTTAAAGTTGTGCATTCTGTATACATTCTCTACGAATTGCTTTTTTTTTTTCTCCCCGGTAAGGAGAGACAGCTCTTTTCGACAGCACTGTATCTTGCTCCCCCATCACACAGCTTATTTGACCAAAACATCTATTCTTCTTTTTCAGTTCTATGGTATTAGATTTAAGGCATATGAAAACAGCTTGAAAAGCCCAAATTTCAGCTGACCAGTTTACCGAAAACCAGTTTACCGAAACCTAATTTGCCTAGTTCAGGCCGCTTTGCTGAAACCGCAAACTGGGTTCCAGTTAACTGAATCATGACAACCCGGTTTGCCGAAACTCAGGTTGCCGAAACCCAGTTTGCCGTCACTGTCGTACATAAGTAAAGCATACTTTGCTTTTGAAAAAGGACGAGTGGGTCAGGGAGGAGCCGTATTTATATACAAATTAAAAGGCAAAATAATAGGAAAAAACAATGCTGTGGGAAAACACAAGGCATACCTATCAGTTAAAATCATAAATTAAATTAAATTAAGGATTAAGCATTGTATCTGTCTCTTATACACATCTAGATGTGTATAAGAGACAGATATAATCGTGGTTTTATGCCAGGGCCATGACAGAGGTTCTAGTCGGCCTCTTAATTCAGAGAGCGGTGAAACAAGAAGAACAACATAAAATAGCGGCTCATTGCAGTTAAGATTCTTTTTTATTCATTCACTAAAACAAATTCGGCTATTAGCAAAAAACAAAAACAAAGAATTAAATAGACCTATCATATAAAAGGCCTATAAGCATATTTATATAACATATTTAACTGGATACTGTTTCTGTAGCAGTCGAAAATTCCTACAGCTGCAATCAGTCCTTCTTCATTTGAGGCCATTTTTTTTGTCACTCGCGAGTATCCTTATCTCCCCTAGTTTCTAGCACGTTCTGAGAGTTCCCATCTTTGCCTCCTTGAGGTCTGCTCGCAGCGTACTGAGTAAGTTTGTATAGTGACGCCCTTTGCGAGCTTGGTACTTGTTGGATGCAACTACAGCAAATTCTAGAGCTCTTTGTGCAGGTGTGTTCTCTGGCATTCGTAGCACATGTCCAAACATGGACCACCTCAATTGGGCCACTTTAGTTGACAGGGGAGTAGCGTTGCACATGCTGTATAAAGTATCATTTGAAATGAAGCTGTGTGGCCATCGGTGACATGTGACAGCACGGATGTGTTTCCGGTGGTAGGCATCAAGTTTATCCATGGCTACCTTTGGAGCTGCCCAGCTGTTGGAATTGTACATCATTATTAGCACGCAGGCAGCGTATAGACGTAATTTCTTTTTCAGAGGAATTCGTGACCTGCGGATCCAAATCTTCGAGAAAGACTGAAAGGCAATGTTTCCCATAATACATCGTGTTGTAATATCGGATGAGCTACACAGCATGGAGCCGATGATCTTGCTTTTCCTCCAGTCTCCTGTCGGGGACATCGGCCAGACGTCGGTGGCATCGCACCCACCCTTTCCTCCTCTATTTTGGAACATCAAACCCCCATCGAGCAAATACCAGCACTACGACTGTGCATCTCATGTCCCCGAGAGGTGCCGATGTCCCTGACAGGGGAAGGGGCAATGACCCCGAAAAAAGGCCGATTTTCCAGACGGCAAAGTGTGCTCCCAGGCATTGACGCAAATCTCCTTTTCCCCTTTAAAGCAAAGTCTGTGATTAACCAAATTAGCTTTCATTAAATACTATTAAGATGATAAACTTACATTTACATGCTAGAATTCTTCAACTACTGAGGGCTTTCACCATCCCATCTCACATCGTACCCCTCCCGGAATTCCACCATGGGCATACAGGTTCCTCCTGGGTCTCCTATAAATACCTGATATAGGTTACGGTACTGGTTACGACAGCCTACGTTATGTAGGTATGCTTAAAGTATTACCAATTCTATGAGAAAAGATTGAAGTTTAACTGAAAATGGGGGGGGGGGCTCACTAAAATAACTATAACATTTTTTCACCAAGGAGGTTTGAAGAGGAGTTCTCGGATGTTAAAGAGGATACCCATGCGTGTCGATTGATACAAAAAAAAGCTTTGTTAACAATTTTTCCCTGGTAAATCAGTAAAACGACCAGACTAATGTAAAATATAAACAAAACAAAGTAAGAAAACATAAAGTTAGTGATTTATACAACGTTTATACTATTATACTTCTGAAACATAGTACCCTATAGTTGCATGGCACCTAAGGCGTTCACCCCTCTTGTTCCCCAGAGCATACCTGTAGTAGTGTACCTGTAGGTAATGAGGTTGAATTTTCCTATTCCTCCAGGAAGTTGCCACCACACAGTAAAGCATGTGTTCCCAAATTATGATGACCATTACTAACTAAATGAGTCATCAATCCCTGTTTCCTGTCCCTATGTATATATGTACCTGTGTTTAGTTAGGAAATCAGTTCGAGTATTGATTTTAGAGACAATTACATCAGTCCTAATCAGTGTACTCCTCAAAATTGTTGTTTTTATATTAAAGTATATTTGCAACTAGGCCTATTTTACGTTTGTCTTCTGCTACCTTATTACATTGCCTTGGCTCTCGACACGTTACCGATACTTGGTGGCTAGCATTGGTTCTAAGCTATAAGCACCTTAGACCATACTATATTTTTTTTTACAAGAAGTGAACTTTGATTCTGAAGTTTTGCAAGAACTTTAAGAAGTTATCAGAATTTGACAAGATTTTATTGAAGTGAACATTTACAGGAACAGAGCGCTTCACACAAGAGGGTGAGTAACCAATCTCAACTAATTCTCTTACAGTTATAGACGGAGGCTTTGCATTTTTATCTTTATGTTAATTTGTTCACAGTAAGTTTGTTAAGATTTAAACTTCCTTTAATCGTTAGTATGGCGAATAAACGACAAACCAGATTGCAAACCAAGACTAACGCTGAAGATACCCTTACTGTCCACCCCTTTGGCTTTTTCGACAATTCCCAAGAATTGAACACTAGAATTACCAGTCATGATCGGATTCTCATACTATGTATGGGAGTCCGATCATGACTTGTAATTCTAAACTTTACCAAATACACGCCCCGATTGAACTAGAATGCATGAAGATTGGAACTAAAGAACTAGAGCTGGAACTAATAAATTCAGGTCAACAGCCTCAGTCTTACCCTCGACATTTAGACAGCACAAATAGCCCCATCAATAAAATTTCTAAAATTAATGAAATTGCTGACTTTGACACATATTTAACATGTTTTGAGAGAATTGCACATCAATGTCAGATCCCTAACGAACAGTTTTTCCTTTACCTTCTACTAAAGCTTACAGGAAAAGCTAGAGAGGCCTACAATTATATGCCTAAATGAACCCTTTACTTATGCTGATCTAAAGTCAGCAATCCTCCTCAAGTATCAGCTGACAACCGATTCGTACAAACGCCGATTTAAGCAAATCCCAAAACCACTTACAATGTCCGCGAAAGAGTGAGTAGGTAAATTAGACCGCGATATGAAAATGTGGCTTTTGTCTGCCAAAGTAATTTTCGATGATACTAAAGAAATTTTAGATTTCTTCCTACCTGCCCAAGCCCTTACTAAATTGCCTTATCCCCTTTTGTCATTGGTCAAAGATGAAAAACCAAAAACGTTCCAAGAATTTGCTAGGATTACGGACAACGTTATCGAATTTAAAGGCAGGTCTTGGATTAAAACCGTAACCAAATCTCAGCCAAGACAATTTTCATCACTGCCTAACACACCCTCCTCATCTAGTGCTAGATCATCACCCATATTTAATACCCCACCCAGAGATGCCCCTAAACCAAAGATATCCCATCCCACCTCCCTTTTTACAACCCATTCCACCCACAGCAATGTCCCCCGTACCCAATCTTACACAGGCCCTCGCAATCAGACATGTTACCGTTGCCACAAGGTAGGTCACTTTAGTAGAGATTGCCCACTAAATTACGCAGAGAAACACCAATCCTCACTCCCATCAAATCAATGACTATTTATGTCCAAGAATAATAATACATGTTGCTTTACTACTAGACAATTTAACAATAACCCATGGTTACTCCACGGCACAATTAATGCCCAAAAGGCAACCAGTCGTATAGACATCGGTTGTTCCCAAAGCGTAGTTAAAAGTACATTTGTCCGATCATACGATTATTTGAATAAAACTGAAACAATACGAGGTGACACTGGTAAATCCGTATCCCGCCCAGTGGTAGAAATATATGTAGAATGCAAAGCTTATAACGGTAAATTAAAAGCAGTTGTAAGCAAAGGTACTCCTAAGGATTTGTTGCTGGTAATGAGGTTATAAAAGGTAACCCATATGATGTTAAATGGCCCTCCGACATTTTAGCCGTAACCCGCCAACAGGCACGCGACACTGAAAAGCAGGAAGCACTTCAGTTTGCTGCGGCGCTTATCGTTAAAACATCTCCTGTAACTATGCCCAAAACGTCAGCAATGTAAACTTAACACCAGGAAATGGAAATGATGCAGAAAATGACAAAGGTGCTCAAATCGAGACCGGAAAACTAATTACCACACCAAGTCCTGTACAGAAACGCAAAAAGAAAAGGAAGCGCGTAAGAAGCAAGTCAACGTAAAGATATATTGTTATAAGCCTACATTACGCAAGTATACTTACTTCCGTCTCTATCATATTGTATTTTTAACAATCCTATAATTTAAAAAGCATGGGTAAAAATAAACCCAAAGGTCTGCATTGTTTAACTTTAAACGTTCGTGGCCTAAGAGTCAAGCAAAAACAAAATGAGATTTTTAATTGGGTAAAAGACAACAAGGTAGACATCTTCCTTGTCCAAGAGACGCATGTTACTAAAAATCTTACAAATATAAATAATTGTATATGGGAGGGAGATGCGTACCATAGTTTTGGCACCTCCTTTAGCAGAGGGGTATCTATTCTTTTTAGAAAAGATCTAGACTACAAATGCTTAAATCAAGAAAATGATAGCTCAGGTAGATTTATTATTTTAAATATCGAAGTCTGTGGTACTCAATATACTTTAGTAAATGTCTATGCGCCGAATGACAGTAAATCACGGAGTTCATTTTTTAGAATTCTCCAAAAGCACATCCAAAAATGTTGCGACATGCAATATATTATTGTTGGAGGAGACATGAATTGTATTCAGGATAATCTGTACGATCAAAAGGGTAGCAAAACAAAAATAGATAATTCAGTGTTCACTGTAAAAGGCCTTATGAAAAATCTAAAGCTAATTGATTGTTGGAGATTTTATAACCAAGATAAAATTCAATTTACATGGCGCAGAAAATCATCAAATTTATTTAAGAGGCTTGATTACTGGTTTTTATCAAAAACCTTATACGAGAGGAATAATATTATCTCTTGCGACATTAGACCTGCCATTTTTACCGATCATCAAGGTGTTTCAATTAAACTTGATGGACTTGGAGAAAAAAGAGGCCCTGGGTTATGGAAATTTAACTCAAGCTACCTAAATGATATCACTTTTACTAGTAACATTAATAAAATCATTGATGATTGTGAACAAAAAATAAAATGTCTTAATCCAATAGATAAGTGGGAAATAATTAAAACAAAAGTCAAAGAGTATGCAATACGCTTTGGTAAAGAAAATATAAAAAATAAAAATTGTAAAAAAGAAAATCTACAAAAAGATATAAAAAAACTAAACGATAAGCTGATTGAGAAACACGGTGATGAAAAAATAGACTTAGAGATTAAAATGAAAACAAAAGAACTAGAAAATATATATGCGTTTGAGGCCAAAGGTGCTCAAATCCGATCCCGAACGAAATGGGTAGAAGAAGGGGAAACAAATTCAAAATACTTCCTAGGACTAGAAAACAATAATGGTAAAAAAAAAGAAATTAAAAAAATCATAAGGTCTGATGGAACATACGCTGTAAAAACTAAAGACATTCTGTCCGAAGAAGTACAACATTTTAAGAACTTATATGCCTCTGAAAAAATTAGTAAGACTGAAATTCATGAATATTTAAATTTAACAAAATCATCTAAACTAACTATTCCTGAACAACAATGTTGTGAAGGAGAATTAACCGTCCATGAATGTGAAAATGCAATACGAAATATGAAAACCAATAAAGCACCTGGGTCAGACGGCCTAACAGT